CCCCCCCCCCCCCAACTGGGGAGGCAACTGGGAGCCACCGTCTGGCAGGTCAGTGCTGTCCCTCGTGGGGTCAGTAGGCACGGTGTTGAGAGGGGGCTGAAAACCAACTGCTGTAAGAGCTGACAGGTATGCTCCTTATTACATGGTCACCCTCTCAAATGAGTCGTGGTTTTAAAACATATGTAATTATTTTAACCCTTATTATTAAAAAGAAGATACTTTAAATTCACAAAGAAGAAAAAGATGTGCCTGAATAAGACCCCTCTCCACACACTACCCATTCAGTTTGTACAGCTGCTGAAAACAATGAAACTTCATGCAATTTTCCAAATACATTAGCAGCTGAAATAATTACCTAAGTAACTATAAGATAGCAACGTACCGTGCACAGCCAGTACTGGTTTTCCTTTCCCACTGCTGTTATTTCTAAGAACAACCTGTGATTTACTATCTGACATATCCGCGTGCCATCCCCGTCCCCTGGCAGACAAAGCTGCTGTTGTAGATTGCCAGACCAGGCAGGATCAGGGATTCAGCCTGACATAATTCAGCAATCAGTTTGCAAGAAGGAAGGCGTTAAAAATATCAAATTTTGGTTGTTCCTCATATGGCCCATGTACAAACCAGGAAGCACTCAAGGCTGGTTTTAAGTTCTAGAGGGTTAATTGGATGATCTTGAAGGTTCTTCCCAACTCAAACCATTCTATGATTCTGTATTTGGGCTTCATTTTGCATAAACACACTCCGCTAAAGCCCTGCTGCTCTCATACCAAGAACAACGGAAGCTTGGAGGAATGGAAAAGAAACCACTAGCTTCCTTAGGAAAGGGTTAGTTACAGGAGCATTCAGGAACAGGGCTCTAAAGTACTATGGGCTGTAAACTGAGTTAGTGTCCCATGCAGGTAACACCTCACTTAATCATCTCTTCTACCAACCCAGACTGGAGGGTGCTACTCCTTCTGCTTGTGAAAGGATCAGTCACCTGAAGGCCAAGACAGTTTAACCAATTTCTTCAGTGGAATAAAGATTTGGCTTTTAGATGTAATGGCTCCACTTACATGTTTTTATGCAAGTAAAAAAGTCTAAACTAGCAGTGTCATATAAAGAAATATATTGAGAGTCACATTTCCTAGAGGAAAAAGAATAAGCTTTTTGTAACACACCTTTAGTTTAAATTTTGAACTCAAATTGTAACTGTTTCTTACTGGATAGCTTTAAAGGGTATGCACTGTAAGAACATAAAGTAAGACTCTAACTATATTTTCTAAGGATTTTCTCAGAAAAATGGTTTTCAACTTCTGGTGTATATGTGTAACTAATAGCAATGATTAGTTTATTTCCCAAAAAGTATTCATTGTCATATATGTTAATGTATAAATTAGTTTATAACACATAATCTAATAAATAGCTATAAGAGCTACACTAGACAGACTTTTGTAATTGTAACAATTGAAACAGCTCATATTTGATTGCTGCAGAAGACAAAACAGTTACACAAAAAGCTATACAGACCTCAAAAAAGCTCTCCACATACTGCAGTATGTACACTCCACAATCACTGAAGTTGTTCTGTTGTGGCACTTTTGGGTTGGAACCTTTCATGACATCTTTAGAAAAGCTTCTTTTGTTGCCTTTCCTGACTTCCCATTCCACTTCTAAATATCTATAATAGAAGACCATACAAATTAAAACTTTTTTTTTCCTGAAGAATTTGGGAAGAAAAAAAAACAAAACAAGACCACCACAAAAACCCAAATGTGAAACTTACTCCCTCAGTGTTTTCACAACATTCGAGCGGGAAGGGCCCCTCAGTGAGTCCATAAGCAATATGCAGGGCCTGACAAGAGAGAACACAATTTTAAAGCATACAGTATTTCACAGCAGCTTGGAAAACACAGTTGCACAGCTAGCTGGGAAATAGTTTGTGGGGTGACTAGATCAATACTATTAAGTTTTTCCAGTGCTCCTATATTCCCCTAACTGGGATGGCTAAATTCAAAGTTATCTTTAGATTTGACCATACACTAAGTACACTTCGGAATGCACTTAGAAAGCTCAGTACTGTCAGACTGAAAGCATTTGTTACAGGCAAAAACCAGTTGCTCAAAACCCCCTCAGGTTTTGACTACTGTTCTTCTAGATACACAAACTACCTGGGACACTGGCAAGGGATTAGAAAGTAAGGCACAGAAGCCATAAACATCCTTCTGAAGCAGCAGCTTCTGGAGAACAGAAGACACCAGGTATGCACGTTCAAGAAGTTTCCCAGCCAACAAATCTGAAATCTACTTAATAGTTACAAACAAGAAACACATTTTCTAATAATAATACATACTCAGACAAGGTGTTCTTTACAGAAGTTACAAACTAGTAAATTCACACAAAATATCTGCATGCATTTATGTGTAGGTTTCTTTGCACTTATAAAATAATTTACATGTATGTCATTTTTTAGGAATGAGCACATAATCACTTTAATAATGCTTGCTTTTATATGTCCTTGTTTTCATTTCTGACAAAATAAAGTTACTATTTATACTAACAATGCTCTTTAAAAATGCACAATCCAGTACATTGTGAGGGAGCAGGGAGGGGGAAAGGAGGGAGGAGAGAGCAGAGGGGGAAGGGAGAAAGAAGTGAAAGCCTTCTCAAGGTAATTTTCTTTTTCAGATAGAAGTAATTTAAAATATGCTAATAATAAAGTATTTAAGTGCCCTTAATGACTTCTGATACTGAAGTGTCAACAATCTTACAAAATTTCATCTCTGGATTAAACTACCGTCTGGTGGAAAGTATTATGTACTGTTAGTCTGTCATCAAAATGGGACAAATTTAGCACAGCTATAATGAGAAGCTCATAAATATGCCTAAAAGTCAAAAACAGATGCATTTTTACCCCTTCATGAAAATGTATTAATTCCTGAATGAACACTTCATACACATTTCATATAATGTATACATTTATAATTTTATCCTGCACCCTAAGAAAGTACTGTGAAAGCCTTTACCTTTCTAGTAACCATCACCTTCACAAATAAATATAAAAATGGATAAATAAATTGTGAAAAAAAAGAAACAAAACTGTGGAGAAAATAATAATAGGAACAATATTTCTAGATTCAGAATAATATAATTATGTCACCAAAATACAGGCAACTGCAGTTACTGATTACTAATAAATAATTTTTGGGTTTCAAATGTAAACAAAATAGATGTTAATAGTTTCAAAAGTCCAAAACAAGTAAAAATGTAAATAAAAAGTAACTAAACTTAGTATCATGGAACTAAGAAAAACTAAGAAAAAACAATACTAAGGAGAGAAAAAAACTAAGAACTGAAAGCAACAATAAAGAGAAATAGCTACAACACATTTAGGTAAGATATGGGGGCAGTTAAAAATTATTCCTATTTTTCTGTACTAGTAAATTACTATTTTTCCTATTTTTATACAGAATTCCTATTTTTCTGTACTAGTATTAGTATTAAATTTAATTCTTTTCATTTAAAGGGATTCTATTTTTTTTTCTAATATAGAAGAACACATTTAAACATGCTTCTGCACCTTCTTTTTGTAGGAATCTAAGTGCAAGATATCAAAGAATAGCCTTGTTTGAAGAACCGATTTCAATTGCTGGAAGCAGCACACAGGCTTAAGAGATACCCAAAAAGCTATTATTTCACTCCTAGTTTCATTAATTAAATTTTCTGCTCACTGAAGATTAAGATACTACAAGGTATCAAATTTTCTCTCAAACACTAATAACACACTGATTAAAGTGTTTGAACACTGATGTATGACCATTTCCCAGAATGACTGTTTTTACATTTCATAAACTTCTAAGAAATTTCCGTTTTAACAGTTAATACTTACTGTTTGCAGATAGTAGGCTTCAGGTGCCACTGTCCCATTTCTGAATTACAGTTGTCATCTACAAGGCCTCCATCATCACTACTGTCTTCCTACAGGAGCAATATGTTTATAGGTGTTTAAAAGCTAATACTGCTTTTCAAACAGATGCAAAATAAATTACTGCTATACTTACCATTTTCATTTAAGACCAGTAACATAAATTTAATAAAGAAGTGATAAATTTAATCTGAAACCATTTGTTATTTGTGAAGTTTGCATTACCAACTTTTAGTCACGTGGTTTCTCAAATCCATGGTGAAATGAGACAGAGTGAATGGTGCTATTTGCTTAATGACTGCTGAAACTAGAAAAAAAGCTGTAACTGACATTGTTGGCTTAAAAGAGCTGCATGTTCTTTTATTATAATCTGAATTATCAATACTTTCTGTTGCTAATGATAACTAGAAATTGACTTGGCAGTTTCATGTATGTTAACTTCTAAATGAAGTGAGAAGTAAAATTTGATCTTTGCTTCAGAATACACCAATTTGGTTCTTCGGACAAGGGCAATTAAATTTCCATAAAACTATATATCATGGGTTGCAAAAACAGTCATGCCACAAACCTGGGAAAGTCCTTTGACTTTTTGATTTCCGTATTGATTGCTATGAAGGACATGGAAGTTTTACAAACAAAATCACTAAGTTAACATATTTGAGAGTATCTCAAATATCCATAGTTTCTTACCCTTTTACTGGGCTGGCAAACTTCCATTAAGGCAAGGATCACAAAACATTTTGGCAAATGGCATGACAGGAGAGCCAGGTTGAGTCTTCATGAAAAGCACAATTAGGTTTTAACATAAACTGGTGCTTTTATATGTGTGCACACATATACATACTATTTGGAAGACATTATAAATAGCTGCAGACTTTGGAAAACAATTGTTTGTTCTGGACTCAAAGTTGAAAAATGGGTAATTCCTAGACTGTCTATTTGATAGCCTCCAATTCTTTATTTCAAACAACTTGAGTCATACACCTGGAATATGAACAGGAAGGTCAATTAGGAAGAGTAAATGTGTAGCTTCTAGCTTGCTCACATTGACCTTACACTGCAGAAGCAACAGGGTTATGGAATAATGCCTTCATACCCAGCAGTGAGTCAGTGAAGGACATTTTAATTATCTGGTTTTCCACAGCTATAGAATTAAAATTCTTCCAATTTTTACAAGAACACTACTTGATTTTAAATCCATGCTGTTCACATTAGATTAGGAGAAGTACCAATGAAATAAAACAGCAGAGTAGCACCCACTTCTAAATGTGTTTTATGTCCAGGAAATGCAGCTGAAAGAAGAGTAAATTGTTCTTGGGTCTGGTAGATAAGCATGGGGTGGGATAGATGAAAGACAGAAATGTGTTGACTTTCAGAGTTTCCACTAAAATAATTATGTAATATTGTCCCTATGCAAAAGACAACTCAATGCAGGATCAGTAGAGCAGTTTCCTATTAAACAGTTTCATGAATGACTACACAACCTTATCCCCTCAGCTCAATTTGCAGATTTTTGTAGGTATGTAGTGCTATGGATCTGACATTTGTAAAGGTAACTATCTCTAGAAAATACACCTTTACACTGTGTATACAGCTTCTAAGCTGCCCATTCAAACTATAACACAACACTTCACATTAATAAAGTTGCTAAATTCTTTACCTGGTTATCTTGGTCTTCAGAAAAATCTATAAGCTCATCTTCATTTAGCTTACTGCCATCAGCTGAGTCTTCACTATAGTTTAGCCTGATCTTGTGCAATCCATCTGCATCAATCACAGATAGTGGTATATTTAAACATCAAATACTACATCACCTTTGTAGAGCAAACTAATTTTAAATACCTCAGATTTGCTCAGGATTGCTCACAATAACTGTGTGATACAGCTGACGCAGTATTTTATTCATGCATATGAACAAAGTGAAAAGTTCCTTATTTTGTGAAAAGCCTAAAATAAATTCTAGAGACCTAGACTAAAACCCACCGTGAAATTACCCTGTAGCTCCATGAAGCCTGTACTGCTACCAAAAGGGGCAGTCCCATTTGGTCCCTAATAAAACAGCTTATTCTCATCCCTAGCTGGTTCCTTCCATGACACCAAATGCACCCACACACTGTGGACCAGACTGAGGAAGTCAGTCAAGTTATTATTTTTTTAACTTGAATAACTTATTTGATCAGATTACTTGTGCTGGTAAAAGGGAAAAGGCAGGCCAGGAACACTCTGCTAGGGAGGGTAGAATGCAGGATCAGCTCTCCCAAGAGAAGCAGCTTAGAAACATTAGTGAAACATCACTGCAACATAAATGATTATCTGTAAAGTCACTTCCCTACCCTCCATCCTTTAGCTGCTTGGGAAACAGAATCAGAAAAAAATCAAGAATGATAAATGTTACAGCTGTACCTGTGAAAGAAGCAGATGCAGACAGCTACAGGCTCACTAGTCTTACTGTACTACCATAATAGACTTAGAACAGATATTTAGGGGGAAAATAATAAACTATGTGGGAATAAGTGAAAAATAAACCTGTAATCTTCAAAAGAAAACTTGTCCTAGAAGACGAGTACACAATATATATCTAAACAATCACAAAAATAGAAGTGTCAGTTACAGTGCCACTGGAGAATGTATTACTTATTAAAGAAAACCAGGATTTCTTTAAGAACATTAAATAGGGCAATGAAGGAGCTAATGGAAAAAATGGAGAAGACCTGGATTTGAGAATACTTCAACAGAGAAACTGAAGTAACACTTTGGAAAGAGGTTACTAGTGAAGTTCCACAGGGACAAATCTGGGAATTAGTTTCACTCACTACCTTTGAAAAGACCTTGGCACAAGAAGTAGGCCATATGCTAATGTGACTTATTGCTGACAGATTCCTAAAAAATAAAAATTGGTGTTGAGAAGAATTACATCTCATACAAAGATTGAGTAATACAGAGAGGACTAGTTAAATAATAATTAGGATTATTTCTTCAAAGTTATTTAGGTGTCAGCTTGTCCTAATTTACAAGTCCAACACCAGGATTTAGTTTGAGATCAAGACATCTACGTTTAGGCTCCCATGTACAGTGGGCATCCACGGTCTCATAATGTTAAGTGGAGACCATAACTGGAGCAGTGAGCTAATCAGCTGAACAGCTACTCTATGTCTGCTTTAGGATGAGAGGAGGTGGTCTCTAGGTTTCACTGACTATCCTATCAAAGAGGCACCTGGTGTCTTCTCAGACATCCTAGGATAACCAAGACATATGTATGGATTTGGGGCAGAGTCAAGACCCACACCCTTTTGGAGAAGCAGCTGAAGGCTGGGCAGAAAACCCAAAGCCTACACATCCCCATCTTTCTTTCTCCTGGTTAAAATGGAAGTTTAGATACCCAGCACATCTAAATTTAGCTGCCTAAACCTATCTTTAGTATCAATCCCAAACTGATTTTCACCCTTAAACTTGGACTGTGACCTGTAAAAATGTCTGCATTAATGAAAGGGTCCATCATCTGTAATATCTGAGCAAGACAGTCTGAGTGATTTAGTCAGCAAAAGAATGACCATCAGCTGCCAATACAATGCAGCCATAAAAAAGAAAGAAATGTAATCCTAGCAAAATATTCGTAGTAAACTATGTTCAACTAGTTAGAGACAAGTATTAGTAGCAGCATTCAAGATATGAGACAGTGTCACACAGCAACAGTATCATAAACAGTAACAATCACACATAAAATAATCCATTCAAGCAAGACCAGATCTATGCATACTTGGTGCCCTCACCCCCTAGACCTACTAGAAGTGACAATGTTATTACAAATGAATACATTTAGATTAGAAAGTAGGACAGTGTTTATACCCACAATTATATTGAAGCTGTAATGGTCTGTAGTATAAAGATTAAACCATATGATTGATAATATTTTCAGATTTGTACCATAAGCTATGCAAGTACTCACTGTGTACGTTAAGTCAGTAGGAATACTATTCGTGACAAAAGTACAAGTTTTTGTGTGTCCAGATGTTTTGTACTCTATGTCTCAAGGGGATCCAAACCTTGCAGTGAGCAGAGTAAAGCATCTTTTCCTAATTTCTTCAGCTGCCTTTAAAAGTATGTTAGTTCCTTTGTTCACTTTGGTACAAACACTGTTCCAGATCACTGAAATGAGCCTCTACAGAAGTGATGCATAGAGAAAGACTCTCTAAATGTAACGAGGTCTTAGTGACATAATTTTTTGTGTTTGTTTGTTTAGATTATTTTGTTCTTTAGATACCTTCTATCAGGACATTAAATAACTTGATCGTGCTCAAGCAAAACCTCAAATGCTGGAAGACACTGGAATTAATATTGCTCACAAAATTCAGTTCCCCCATGCACATACATTATGAACTACTTTTCTTTCCTTAACAATTATAGTCTTAAGTGATGCAAAGTGTTATCTACAATATGTTTTTACGTTAAAAAGGTCACACAACAGAAAAATTAATCTTATTTAGGGAAACAGTGTTTTATCTCCAGCTCTTTTGCCTTAAGAGTTACGTCAATAGCCACAAAAACATTTTATATGCAATGGCTATAAATTACTCATGTTGTAAGCACTCAAACTTCAGTCACATACTAAACTTTTAAAGTAAGAAGTTTACACAATTGTAAAAGTAGCAACAGATGTGAAATCTCCAAATTATTCATTAAAATGTGCATATTTTTTCAATTACATACCCATAGATTGGCTAGCAGCTGTGAATTCACCCTGTATACCATTTTCATCCAGAGTCCTATGGTCTAGTTTATGGCATGCTGATTCCACAGTGTTAGGTTCTTCCACATTACTGTCTATTTGATTTAGTTTTTTGAAAGCACTTTTTCCCCTACAAGGACTTCTTCTACAACATGAAGACTCACTGTCCTCTGTTTCTGTGTGTGGGTCAATTAAAGCTGTATTATACTTTTTGGTCAATGTCTTCTTTGCTGTGCACTTGGAAGGAGAGTTTTGTGCATCTAATTCATTTGGCAAAGGAGATGGTGTGTTACTCTCTCCATCTGAAGAGGAAGATTTTATCTGTGTTGCAGCATTTTCATGATAGTGAGGATTTGGTTCATATTTGGGTTTTTCTAAACCAGGAAAACAGATGACAGCCAAAAACCAGTGGGCCCTGAAAAGGAAAAAGTAAATTAAAAACTAGCAATTACAGTAATGCTCATGTTTAAACCTAAAGTTGGCAAAAACTAAACACTGAGTGCACGTGTGTATGTGCACTCACACAAAAACCCCAAATCCTGCCCCTATAGTTATCCAAGATAGATTGTCATATCTGGTCACTTTTCTGAGGTTTTCCTGAAGCCCTCAAAGTCGTCTCTAAAGGTAGTATCACAAGGTAAGATCACTCAATGCAAGTAGTCACAAACAAATACATTAATATGATACAGTTAGCTGAAAACAGGAGCTGCCTAAATAAATTTCAATTTACTCATACTGTTTACATTCCTTTCCTTCCTTGTATTAAAGCTCATTTATTTTTTAACATTTGCTTTATCACTGCATGAATTGGAGATTGTAAAGTTCATGCTTTATGGCTGTACAAAATTTTCTAGTAGTTCAGGACTAACAACACAAGTAACCAGATCCAATAGAACAGATGAGTTGCCCATATTCTCCCACTTGTGATACCTTCCAATTGTATATGAAGCTTCAAATTTTTAAAGTCTTGCTAACAGTGAACTAAAAATGGGAAACAAGTATATTTGTAATGCCATCACCATGACACTGGTGTCCTCCTTACCCTTCAAACTAACGTTCTAACCCTTTCAGGATCTAATCAGTTAAATTGCCCAACACAAATTTTGCCTCTTGTCACTCAATCAGAAATGGAGCAGCAGCAAATTCAGGGATTGAGACACTGCAAGTAGGTATCAACTGACGTGATTTAGAAATTTTCTGAAGGTTCTCTGATTACCTCCAGCAACTAAAAAAACAGAACCTAGCTATGTATTATGGAGGTGAAGCCACATTTCAATGTGTTTTAGAAAAAAAGAAAAAGCAGCAAAAAAAGTCATAAATAGATTATTACGAAGCCTAAATACAACTCAAATACAATGGCAGGTAAATAAAGTGGCCTTTGAAAGCAGCATGTGAAGTGCAGAGGCATTTTGTGTTAAATGACTTACCATAACTAGTAAATCAATATACTAAGTATTGCCAAAACCTGAATTTGTGTGTGTTCTATTAATACAGGCTTTATGTATCAATTATGTAAATAGACTAGTAAATTAACCTGGACCTGAACAGAAAATAGCTTGTAACTTTAAAAAAAAACAGAACCTATTTCCACTTGAACAAAAAGACTGTACTGCCAAAGGACACTGACGCAGTCACAGTTAAATCAGCCATGCTGTTCTGAAGTTAATTATCCCTAGATTCATACTGCCCACGTCCAGCTACTGCAGTTTTGTAACTTGTTAGAGGATGTGACCACATTCCCTAAACTAGTGGTTATGGGAAGAGTCTGGAAAGACTTTCAAAGAATCACAGAATGTTAGGAGTTTGAAGGGACCTCTGGAGATCATCTAGTTCAACCCCCTGCCAGAGCAGGACCACCACAGAGTCTAGGGGAGGTCACTCAGAAACACATCTAGATGGATTCTGAAAGTCTCCAGAGAAGGAGACCCCACAGCCTCTCTGGGGAGTCTGTTACCATGCTCTGTAACCCTTACAGTAAAGAAGTTCTTCCTTACATTGAGGTGGAACTTCCTGTGCTCTAGCTTGCATCCATTGCCCCTCAAGAGGCATGACTGAAAAGAGATTGGCCCTTCCTTTTTGACACCCACACTTCTGATATTAAGATACATCAATAAGAAACCCTCTCATCCTTCTCTTCTCTATACTAAACAGCCCCAGTTCTCTCAGTCTTTCCTCATAAAACAGGTGTTTCAGTCCCTTTATCATCCTCTAGAATATACTCTTAAACCAGATGTCAGAATAAATAGTTGTATCCTAAAAAAACTCCAACAAACAAAAAAACCCCATCATTATGGGCAGCACAGGAGAAAGATTACCAGGAGTAACCATTCTGGGTTGACATTGGACTAATTTTCAAGGTCATTTCCAACTGTGAGGATTCTGAGATGAGCAACATTCCTGTAACATGAGAGAATCTCTCAAGTTCTCAAATCATAGAATAACTTGTTTCACATAGTACTTAATTCAAGACACAAAGAAGCAAAAGAAACTCTGAGACTGGATATCAGCCAGACTAATTTTGCCACAGGCAAAAGGTTTGAGGCCTTTTCTAAGTAGTAATGAATGCAGATCTTTCACTGGAACAGTCTTCCATACCTTTGATCTACTATTGTATCACATAGAGAAAGCTCTGTTTACAAGGACTAAGCAAACCAGGTGACAAATTCCTGAAAAAAACCTGCAGTGCTGCAATGTGTTGAGTCACACTGTGAGAGTCTTGGACTACTCAAGTGTGTATGTGAGTTCTATGATCATAACCTATGAAGACAAGGAATAAGCTTACAGAAGAGAAGCTGGTGATGAAAGCCTTACTACACTATAGTAGGTAGCACATCCAGATGTCCAGGCAAAGGCATGTCGAAAAAAATGCTGAAAATGAGGTTGTTCCCTGCACACCACAGGCATTAACTGTCTCTCTCTCCTCACCACTGATTCTCTGTGCTCCTAGTGTTTTCACTAATCCCTTGAAGTTATGAGGCAATGCCCCAATTACAAGAAAAAAAGAAAGAAAACTGGACAGCTAAACATGAAATAGTTGGAAGTTAGTTACATTCTACTGGATTTTCAGCATCTAAACATCTCCATTCTTGTCAACATAAAGCATGACAGTCCTAATTTTGGAAGTGAGGAACAGGAGCATGGGGAAATTTCGGGAATTACGTAACACATAAGTTACACAAGGGAGCTTCTGAAAAAGATGCAACTTAGTTCAAATGTTAGGACACAGGCCACAGCCTTTATCATAAGACTTGCATATCTGAAAGACTCACTGCAGATTAAGAAGCCAACTAATGTACCAACCAGCACCATAAATACAAAAAAATGTTGCTTTGGCACAACAGCAAGGTTTCACAGCCCTCTGCTCTGTTTCAAAATGGTAACACATACTATATATAAAAGAATGGTCAAATATATAGTAACCTGGTAAAACCTGCTATTCTTGGTACAGCAATATATGGAGGGAGGAAAAACTTAGCAACTGACAACTCTGCTACTAGGACAGAGGCCTAGAAGCCTTCATACTTGTCAGTTTTTGTGTTTTTTCCCCAGAAGCTCCCCAGACTCCTCTCTGTTCTGTAACAGCAGATACCTACATTTTACTGTCCCAAATATGTGAGCATCTTCCCCAAAACAGTTCAGCTCTTTGTTCCTCAAAACCGAATGCTGGGTTTCAGAGGATGGGAGAAGTGACATGTCTAAGGGCAGACAGACTAGCAATAGGAATCTCAGAAAAATACTAGCAGCTAATAACAAAAAAGGAAGATTTAAGTTTAAGCAAGTCAAAACCAATAAAAATCAAACCCGCTTCCCCTGCCAAACCACCATTTTCTCATCTCCCTAGATACTTGTTTCTTTTTCTTTTTCTGCAATGCTCTTACTGTACATATCAGGAAACCTGATGAGCAGGACCCCTACCACTAGACCAGGTTGCACAAAACCTCATCCAACCTGGCCTTAAAAACCTCCAGGGATGGGGCATCAACAACCTCCCTGGGCAACCTACTCCAGTACCTCACCACGCTTATAGTAAAGAATTTCTTCCTAATATCTAACTTAGATCTCCCCTCTTTTAGTTTAAAATCATTACCCCTTGTCCTATCATTATCTTTTCTGATATAAGGTTGTGCAGTAAGAACAGAATACCAAGCAGGATCACGACCCTGGACCTCAGCAGGGCCAACTTTGACCTTTTCAAGCAATTACTAGGGGAAATCCCATGGGATAGGTACTAGAAGGTAAAGGGGCTCAAGATAGTTGGTCAACATTTACGGACCACTACTTCCAAGCTCAAGATCAGAGCATCCCAATGGGTAGGAAATCAAGAAAGGAAGCCAGGACACCTGCATGGTTAAAGAGGGAACTGCTGGGCAAATTCAAGTGGAAAAAGAGAGTCTACAGATCATGGAAGGAGGGGTTGGCCACTTGGGAGGAATACAGGACTGATGTCAGAGGATGTAAGGAGGCAACTAGGAAAGCTAAGGCCTCCTTGGTATTAAACCTTGCAAGAGACATCAAGGACAACAGAAAGGGCTTCTTTGAATAGATTTCAGACAAAACTAACACTAGAGACAATACAGGCCTGCTGCTGAATGAGGTGGGTGCCCTGGTGACAGAGGATACAAAGAAGGTGGAGTTACTGAATGCCTTCTTTGTCTCTGTCTATATTGCTGGAGACAGTCCTCAGGAGTCCCCTGAGGCCCCAGAGGAAGTCAGGATAAAGGAGGAGTTTACCTTGGTTGATGAGGACTGGGATAGGGATCAATTAAGCAATCTGGACATCCATTAATCCATGGGTCTTAATGGGATGCACCCATGGGTGCTTAGGGAGCTGGTAGAAGTCATTGCTAGGCCACTCTCCATCATCTTTGGTAAGTCGTGGGGAACAGGAGAGGTGCCTGAGGACTGGAGGAAAGCAAATGTCACTGCAGTCTTCAAAAAGGGCAAGAAGGAGGACCTGGGCAACTACAGACTGGTCATCCTCACCTCCATTCCTGGAAAGGTGATGGAACAACTTATCCTCAGCACTGTGCCTCCCTTGGCATATCAAGGATAGAGGGTCATTAGGAGCAGTCAATACTGTTTTACTAAGGGGAAGTCATGTTTAACCAATCTGATAG